TTGTGGGAGGGGTTAGGGGGATTAAGGGTAAACTTTCAAAATTCTAATGGGAACGTATAGTAGAATTTTCATAAATAGATTGAATATTAGTTGAAATAAATTTCGGTGTTGAAATTTGGTTGAATTTGGAATACTATTCAAACTCCGCGCGCCGTGCTGTGCCACAACACTAGTGCACATATATACATTATGATATTTATTTTGTACATTTAATCCCTAAACTATTAGGATATAACAATGCAATGATTATAATTTTATAATATATATTTGTCATATGTGGTAGCTTTTAAGTCAATACTGACATCAGTAGATAAGTGAATAATAACCACTCAAAATCTAAAAACGGAATATTTTATGTCTTTTCTCAATATATTATACACTACTTTCGAAAGAATAATCTATTTGAATTTTGGTGCTAATTAAAATTTCTATTTCTTATTACCTGAGAGATGGTGAAATCACATATCATTATTTTGGTGCAAGTTACAAGCGCAGTTAAAAAATGTTGATGCAAATCACATGTATAGTATATATTTAGGGTTGTTTATTATAGTTTACAATGTTTTAGCGTATAACTATTGAACTAACGATATCGAGAATATTTCAACTTTACACATTTTTAAAAATATCGACTTGAATTTAAAATAAACACCGATATTTTTAAATTACTTTTAAAATCCAATTATAATACTTAATTACTTATATTATACATGTATATATATACTCGTTATTTTGCAAGTACTATAATATTATAAACATAATATATAAAATTATGTACATTATATACATTATTACGTACAAAGTTGCATGTATATATATATATAGAAACTTAATTTATTTCAAAGTAAAAAAAAAAAATGTGGCGTCTGAAAATTAAAATGAATAATTCATGTATACTCAATTTATTGGCAGTTAAAAAAAAAACAGCTACATTATACATTACAGAATATATTTTTTAAATTAATTTGCTTATATTCGCAGAAACTATAGAAATATCGTCAAAATAAATGTTTTTTATCAAATTTAATCATTTTTTTTCTTTGACTATTCGTATAGTATACGTTATTAGTTGAATTTATTATTCGAATGACATTAGATTTTATAAATAAATAATAATTGTTATAAAATATAATTTGCTCTGTACTCTACGATATATTTACTATATATATTTATTTATATTTACTAATAAAATTTGTTGAATTTATTAATAACTGAACAGTGATTAATTTCCTGTATTCTATCAAATTGTCATCACATTTATTAGTACAGCTTTTGAATTACACCGGAATAACTTATAAACTTGTAAAATTAAAATGTTACTCGTGTTCCGGAACTAGAAACCTCCCATTGTGTCTACAAAGTTGATTATGAAAACGATCGGCTTCAACGGACAAGGCCATTTTCTTTCAGTAGTTGGAAAAGGGGGATGATTATAATAAGGGTTGTGTACGAAACGTACCTAAATAATTTATGCGTTTTTATTTTTTGATTGATTGTTTTTGTAGTTTTATACAATCTAGATTAAAATAATTATTTTTAATAATATTAAAAATATTTTTACGCATAGATGATGTCCTATTGTTTTAGTTAATTTATTGTCTGATTATTTGAAGAAAGAGTACAGCCTGAACAAAAATCGCTCGAATTATTTTTGCATTTCTATGTAGTGTTGTCTTACAATATTAATTAAAGTATACTCAACTGCTGTTTGTGTTGTCGATTTGTCACGTTATATATTATAGCCAATTTAAATTGTAGTCAATTGTATATAAGTTATGAGTCTTGGAATTGTAGTAATTGTTATTAGCTACAATAACAAATTTTTAATTTAAGCGAATGAAATAGAGGATTTTTGCAGTACCATGTATTTTAAAAAAATATATTAATCTTTAACTCTATTGTATAATAACTATGTGGTATAGGGTTTCTTTCTGGAAAACTGTCTTATTAGTGTAATAAAATGCTCTTAAATAACAGAAGGTCAATTTATTGATCAGAAATCTAATATAGACGGCGTTATTTTGGGTGTAACAGAATGTAGTAAATTTTCTGTAATAGTTTTCGAGAAAAATCCATATCAACTAACAACTATAATAATAGTGAACCATGTTAAAACCATCCGTATATATACATTCGCCCAAAACTGTATGACACTGTTTTTTATTATTATTATTATTATTTAGGAATAGGTATAGAGAATTAAAAACACTATATACCTTAAAAAAATTATTTAAAACATTAAAAAGTACGGCACTCGCGTTTCTTTCAAATCTTTGATACATAAAATGATTATTACAAAGAATAAACTGCTAATATTTTATACTATAGACTATTATAATATGTTCAGCGAAAATGGGGTTTGCATTGTTCTGAATTTTTCAAGATCAAACAAGTCGGAAATTTGTGTGCAAACGATAGTTGCTGTGTTGAGCGTAAATGTGCCCGAAGCGGTTTTAGCTGTACAATGTAGCTATGGTAATAGTATTGATTAAGTAAGAAAACGCGCGCATAGTATAAAACAAACACAATGTATAGTTACAAGTTATAATATACAATACTAATTAAGTAAATGTGTTAAAATACATTACTTTGTACTAAAAATAGCAAGTTAAATAATCATACATAATATAGCACGATGCTCGATAAGAAACAAATACGAATTAATATTAAGTTTCAGATGACATATATAATATTATAACACGGATACTCCTATATGCAAATAAAGGTCGTATTATTTAAGGGTAAATTAATACTTACTGGGTGATGTCGTTTAATTAAAATTAAATACTGGACATGCCTGCAAAATAAACTCGAAAGTTAAATCAATTTGTACTATATGGTCAAAAGACCAACAAATAGCTAATAGATTTTAATTTATTACTATATCCGATGCAAAACACTTGTAATTGTAATTAAGAAAAATATTAACTACCTATATAATAATAAAACAAACTAAAATTTGTGTATTATTTCTTGTTGATTTAATACAAGGGGGAGGATTTGGATGTCGTATCCCCCCTAAGACCTTTTTTTTTAAAAAAAAAACTGAGGCACTACATTTATGTACTTATTTAACTATAAATATTATTATATTATATAGAAATAATACATAAAAATCCCGAATCTCCTATGCTAGTTGTACACAAATACTTCGTAATAAACGCAAGTGCATACTACCCTGCCAAAGTGAAAGGCAATAACCGACAATTAAATTCATGAATGAGATTATTGTAGAATATCAATTGTTTATTAGGCCATTTTACATCGATTTTTCTAGGTTAAAATGCAGTAAAACATTATTTAGACCCTCTAAATAAGATTTAAATATGTAGTATCTACCTAACGAATACTAGACAAATAAGCAGTATATGATATATTCTAGAAAAAAACACAGCATATGTTGTGTAGTTTACTGCTTATACGTTTAGTAAATTTATATAGCGGTATACATACTGCGTGTGTATCTAACCTTAGATTATCTGACTAATAGTAAGCAGTATCTACATGTTTATAATTGAATGCCAATATTTTAAATTCTTTTATAATTAATTTTACATTTTATAATTCTATGAAGTAAACATAAGTCAATGAGTTTGTTCCTAACTTTGATTAGTCAGAATTGTTAGTTTTTATATTTAATAATTTATTTATTTATTATTTATTTTATTTTAAGAATCATAAATAGGTATTATTAATATTTAAATAGTATGTAACACACAGACTAAGTTATGATCCATTAATCATATCAGACATCAGTTTATATGTATTTGATGATCATAAATTCATAACTATTTAGGTTCCTAAAAATGAAATCTGATTTTTAAAAAGTGATTTTTTGTTAATTAAATACATACGTGGTTAAACTATGATGTTTATAATTTGTTGTTATGTTTTAAAAGAAAGAAAAAAATATATGTATGGTTGAATTGATTAATACTGCTTTTTTAATTGTAGTTGTAATAATTTTTGACTATCATAAATGCAGTATCTATTTAATCTTGCCAAAAAAAGTATAAACTATAAATATTTGATTTAGAAAAAATAAAATTATCCACTACGATTTCTGAGATAAATAACTACAAATAATGATCAAAACATTATTGAATAATATTGTTAACAAGTAAAACAGTTCAAAAAGAAGAAAAACCCATTTTCCCAACATTTGTATTTTTATAGATACAGCCTTTATTTATGGCTGGGCAGCATAGGTATTACTATTGCAGTATTGCACAAATATACCTATATATTGTATTATGGTAATGGTATAAAAATAAACCCCCGAGTGACCAAGTATTATTTTATCGTAGATCGATGACGCTCATCTGATTATTTTGTATAGATTAATAAAGACTATAACGATGTTAAATACTAATATATGTATCACATACGTACATAAATTTATTGCACTAAAAGGTACTTATGATAAATACAATTTTATATTTTTTTGGCTGGGGGGGGGGTAATAGGTAAAATGTAAAAACATTTCATCTCCCCCTACAAACATTACCAAATTACGCCACTGACCCGCATATGTGAATAGAGCGAGACGAGTAACCGACAGTGAATAATAATAGTCTAATCGATGCTCATTTTAATTTTTTTTTTTAAATTATATGATATGTATCATAATTATTATGATGCGGGTAACGTTTAAAGAAAAAATTAAATACATAATAGGTAGATTTGTATTATTAAAATATTAAATATCGGTTATAATATTCATACCTATACATGCATTTGAACTTTTTCACTCTCATATATTATGTTTCAAATGTTTTAGTGGCAAACATTATAATATAATATTATTATATTGTACCTACATACATAGTTTATAAATGCTTGTTGCTTTCGTATAGGTACGCAGTTCATCAAGTTGCCGTTAGATACGTAGAACAGAAAATAATCAATAAAATGCGTAGCTGCGTACGCCAAATGTAAACGTTTACATTATAGGAGGGTGCCGCATTCAAAGTTTGTACATTTTCGGCGCTCAGTGTGCTCACGAACACGTCCGCCAGTGGACCTTCTACGACCCCGTACGATTTTCGTGAGATTGCGTCTTATTATTACACAACAAAACATATTTTCACAATCACTCATTATATCCAATAATATATAGTTTTTTCATTCATTTCTGTCGTTCCGTATCATGTCCGAGTTAAAAATGAAAAAAAAGCAAACGCCGAAAATAAACATAACTAAATTGATAGATGAAGTCACCAAATATCCTCAGATTTACAACCCGGATCACGACGATTTCAATGACACAAAAATAACGCTGGCAATATTTAATACGTCCATTAGCGAGAAGATGGGCGGAATACGAGGTAATAAATTAATAATATTAATATAATATACATATAAATATATCTAATAAATAATTTTTAAAAATGATATTATATTCAGTGTAATACATTATTATTATAATTTTAAGTAAGTACTTATACCAAATATAGGTTCTATAGATATTTATTTAGCATTTTGTTTTAATTCAAATGTATAATATATGCATCATGAAAAAAAATTTGATTCAATATATTTTGAAAACCTTTACATTGTATTTTTCACACTATTCACAGTAAGTTACGTAACGTAGGTTATAGTACAAGTGTATTAAAAATTATCGTAAGTAAATATTGATAATTTTTCCGTAAGTATTGAGTTCCATTTATGAGAACATAGACTACATAATTTTTGTCTAACTTTCTTCCTATAATACTGACTATTATACTGTATTGTGTTGTTAAATATATTATTACCTATATGTGCTATGTTACCCATCTACGTCCATAAACAGTTTTGTAACAAAAATGTATATAATATTCCTTTAATGTCCCGTAAAGTATCGGTTAGTATTAACCGTGAGTTAACCAACATCACTTTGCTGTATTGAGAAAATTTAACCGCCGACTATCCAGACATTGTATGAGCGGGCTTTATAGTTAAGTACAATATATTAGTGCTAAACTCGCATTTCATAATTGCCAATGAAAAATTAAATACCCGCGGATGTAACTTTGCTATTCTGCACCTCCTTTCTACGCTTATCCTTTACTCACACACTCACTCCCACTTATAATCCATCACCCGCTTATCTCTCACCTGTCACTTCTCTTACTACTTATATCCCTCTCCTTTGCAACTCTTCGCACTCATCAACAACTTACCAACTAAGCCACTCTTTTACGCATTTTGCAAAATTGAACTGTTGTTTCGTAAGACGAAAAAAAAACATTAAACTAATAATAACAGATTAAAATAGACCTTGTATGTATAATATAAATAAATTAGAAAAATTCAAGAGGATTAAAAAAAAAATAATATATAGATATACGCAGTTCATATTATCACGTATAAAAGACATACAGGTTACATAATAATATGTATAATTCGTATAATAAGTGTACCTATTTACCTATTAAATTTGTTTGATGTATATTTTTAGTTAATATGACGTCCACCCATAAATTTATTTACCAAAACATCCCAAACTTCACGGATACCTTAAATGTTCGCACCGACACTTAAAATCTGAAATAGCCACTCCCGTATTGATTTTGAATTTGTTTTAGAGTACATAGCCATCAGGTAGGTTACTTTATTCTTTTTCCATTACCTACCTATTTTTATATTATACTCGATCAATTATCATCTTATTTTTTTTTTTTTTGATAATAGTTCTTTCTAAAAGTTATGATCAAATCATAATATCAGTTCAAGCTGACAAAAGCACTATTATTATTAACAGCGTATAACATTTCGTTTTTTGTCAAATTATATAAGGTCCCGTTTGTGTCATAAACGAACACTTTAGATATTTAAAAAAAAGGTAAATTATTTTTAATCTACTGATATAGCCGGTTACTTTATCGTAAAGAGTTGTTCTTCTAATTGTAGTGTAATTTCATTAAATACCTATTTGATATACATTTATACACGTCATATTATACATGCATATACCTACTCACAAATACAAATATTAATATAGGTGTGGTAAAGGGTGGTAGATAAGTGTAGTAAGTATTATATTTTATGTATTTGTATTTTGTTGTGTATATACTATAACTCAATGGCGTTCGGTCAAGTGATCAATTTAATTTACACATTGTATATAATATCATAATATTAGGGATTAAGTACCTATATACGCTTATTTACTTCCCATACTATTTATATAGGTCCTATATTCTCTGTATATTATTATTGATTATATCGATTTAAGTACATATTACCTATCTATCATTATATATATTATATTATACTGTGAATTCATCGCATTAATTTTTACCGACAATATGAATAATCCAGGTATTATGAATAACACCTATAAACATTAAACATAATGATTTTAGGCAAAATTCAAAAATACGTTTTTTTTTATCTCAGGATCTTTGATATTAACATCGGTTTTATCATTTTCATTTGTTTCATAATTTTCGAAATGTTCCTCGGTAATTTCTTCCATAGTCTTAATTAATTCCTCTTCATTTATAATATTTTGTATTAATTCTTCAGCCTCATTAGGTAAATTTTATGTTGTTAAACCAATATTAATCTTAATAATATATATATATAAATACATACATATATGTATAAAATAACATGTCCTGACTGATTGACTCATTGATTCATTATCGCCTATCCCAATCCACTGGACAGATCTGGTTGAAATTCGACATACAGATAGCGATTATGACGCTGTGATCCACTAAAAAAGGATTTTTCAAAATTTAACCCCTAAGAGTGTAAAATAGAGGTTTTTAGGTATTTTTGATGCGAATATTTAATTGTTTATTTATTTATTTTTGTTTATTCATGGGTTACCTTGGTGGTATGGACGACAATTTCATTGTCACGGACAAGAAAACTATTATCATTAATATTACTATTATTTACACTATAGCAATATCAAAGCATTGGGTCAGCTAGTTTTATATAATAATTTAATTTTGTTGTTTAGTCATCGTGAAAATTGTGTATATTCCTTGTGTTTTTTGGAATTATGTGTTTTACCTAGGTATTATGCATAACGTCGATAACATAATATACAATTTCAAAAGTTAATTTGAAGTCAAACGCACTGTATTTTCTTACATTATGAACTATTTATGTTTTAATTATAAAAATAACTATGTAGGTACCTATATAGAGTATAAATATACACCTAAACCTACAAAGAACTTTTATTATAGATTTTATATTATTATATATTATTGTATATTATAAATTTATAAGTATACATTTTCTTTGTGCAATATTCTATAACGATCTTAATTTAAACGGGGAAAGCAGTATGTATAATAAATCATTCATTTTCGCATATTTAAAACATTATAGTAAAATGTAGGTGATATATTGATATTACTTACATTTTTTTCTACATAAAACTAAAACAAAAGTTTGAGGTTCTGGATGTAATAAGTATTTTCAATAATTTTTAAAAGTTTTCAACGTTTTTTCGGAAAATAATATATAATATTATAGTAGCCGGCACTTTTATTACATATTTTAAAACCCGTTTTAATAATATTATAAGAAATTTATTCCATTTATAGGCATATTTAAAAATTATTTATATGTATTAGATAATCTATATCTAACTATCCTACATAAATCGCACGATAAAAGAAAATATCACGAGTTAACGTTTTATTCTTGGTTTCAAATTTATTGTACTCAGAGTCTACGAATAATTTTTCCTAGTAATATAATTTGAATATTTGATAACTTTATAAATCATTTCGCATTCATTCTGAAGTACTTACTTCCTAAAAACACTACCGTTTCATCGCAGATACTTTATATGTAAGTAGGTACCTATTTAGTATTTATATTTAAAATATATCGCTTTTTGTTCATTTATTAATTTATCATTTTTTTTTTTTTATTTTACAATTCAGTTAATTTTCATCGAACACTGATAATATTCCTTTATAAACGTGGTTAAATTTTCAAAACATTTCTTAACTATATATAGGTATTTTAAAATCACATCATCTTGTGCACACTATTTTTCGATTTACATGTATACAACTTTTTCGGTTTATGTAGTTACAAATTAAAAATTAAAAATTAAATTTGTTCAAAACTTGCTATAACAATCATTGGTTTTGAGTATGTGATAGAATAGTGATTGTTATAGCAGTTATAAATTCAGAAGTTATAGAAAGATATGACTGCTAGTGCAGTTATTTTTATTACGATATTATCGTTTTCGGACCAATTTAATGTTTAATTATGACTTAATAATTGATTGGAGAAATGTTATCAAGCTTTTGGCAATCGCTTTTGTACATTTTTTGTAACTAAAATATTTATTCAGCTATATGAGTGATGCTAGAATTACAGTAAAATCTATAACTGCTATAATAGTGGTGTCCGGCAATGTATTAAAACGAATTTCACTCAAACCGTTTTTTGTTAGCAATGTTTTGTTTAAAAACGGTAAATTATTCCAGATTTACCTACTTCACAAAAAAAATAATAATACACATACAAATTTTGAAACAAATATAAGTAGGTAGGTACCTACCTACAAATCAAATTTTATAAATAATTTTAATTTGCAGGTGATTTACTGCATCGGAAGTGGAACAAAATTTTATATAAATACGCCAGTTTTATTAAGAAGTTGAGTAATGACGATTCATCCGAAAGCACTTTGGAAAAATTTATGGAGTGGCCGTGGACAAGATCTATGCGTGTTTTCAAACCGTATGTTCGCAAGCAATTGTAAGTCATGTATAAAATAATTTGTATAATTTATACCTAAAACTTAATACTTGTAGTATTATACAAGTAGGTAAGTAGTCTATATACATTATACATGTACGAGGTCTGGTTATTAAACAACGAGACTGCTTATGAAAAATGGTTTTATTTTTAAAATTATTCCACAACCAAATGTTCCCCTTCAATATACTCTCCTCCCCTCTTCACACACCGTTTCATTCGTTTCTTCCATTGCTCAAGGCAGTGCTGGAAGTCTGTTTTCATAAGACCATTCAGGAGTTCCGCCGATTTTTGTTTCACCTTTTCCATCGACTCAAACCGGATTCCTTTTAAGGCAGACTTTATCTTCGGAAACAAGTAAAAGTCGCAGGGTGCCAAGTCGGGTGAGTAAGACGCGTGTTCGAGTATTGGAGTGCCTTAAGCGGCCAAATAACGCTTCACAGACAGCGCGTTATGGGCAGGTGCGTTATCCTGGCGCAAGATCCACGACTTGTTTTTCCACAATATCGACCGTTTCTTACGAACTCATTCGCGCAATGTTGCCAAAACTGTCAAATAGTAATGTTGTTCACAGTTTGACCCTCTGGAACCCATTCTGTCATCACGATGCCGTTGATATCGAAGAAAACGGTTTTGAATTTGGATTACGACTGAATTGGATTCCGGTGCACTCTCGACCTTCAGAAAATAATTTATGCCACACAAAAACACGCGCCCGAGATAGGAAATCCTCACTATAGGCTTCTTTTAACAATTTGTAGCACTCAGTTGGAGTTTTTTTTAGTTTAACGAGAAAATTGTACGTTTATCCGTTGCTCATGTTTTTCGTCACACATCGTTTTCGGCAAGAGAAAAAAACATGTTCGTTTCTAAACGCTACAGAAAAAATACCAATTCACCAACAAAAACCCAATTTTGTACTGGCATAATAGACACTTCCAGCTAACTAGCGCTGTATTTGGTTTTCCCCTAATCTCTTTGGGACGCTCTCTGCGCGCACAATCTCGTTGTTTAATAGCCAAACCTCGTACAAAAATGTTAACCATTTTGTCGAATATTAATTAATATGATTCAAATTATATCAATTATTATTTTTACTTATTAATAATAATTCTAGTGATTTTCTGCAGTTTATGCATATTACTACATTTTTTATTCTTATTTCTACCTATATTTAATAAGTAACGAAATCTAATATTTAGAAATTGTTTCTTGCATTTTTTTTTCTTGTTTAATATTGTATAATCAAAGAAAATCATTAACGTGAAAAGTGCTCAATAAAACGACAATATTGTTACAATTTTTAACTATTTGTATACAAACAAAAAAGTAGAATGTTTGTAGGTAGGTATTTTTTTTAACTTTGAAATTCATGTATACCTATTTATAATATATAGTTGACCTATTCAGGTCATTCTTTTAACTTTTATGAGCCAGTGACTATCTACGAAGATTATTTGTATAAGGTATCCCAATATGAACATGAAATTTTTTAGGTACCTTCCCTTCCCAACTCATCCGGTCTAAATGTTTTACTTATAAACAGTTTAGGTACTTATTACTTCCAATATTAGTGCGTATGTGAGTAAATATGTCAACATTTTTAGACAAATATTCTCTTTTTGAATCTGATTTTAAAAATATCATGACAGGTTGTTGTTTATATTATTTATGACGGTATTCGGAATTGAAAAAATATTTTTTAAAGTATTATAAACATGAAAAAAAAAAACAAAATCAAACATCTACGAAATATTTAATCTACTAATAGATAATCGCTGGTTCATGACAAAATAATCATGCAGGTATATTAACCGATATTATGAAATGATTGTTTTTCTAGTAACATTCCTAAATTTGAGCCATCACAACTGCTAGATGTCGAGTTTGGTCACGACAGTTTCGAGCCCCGCCAATTTATGCATATACCAACATTGCCTGATATGTTAATGGCAGCTGGGACAATGGCAGCTGGGTCAATGGCAGCTGGATCAATGGCAGCTGGGCCAATGGCAGCTGGGCCAATGGCGGATGGGTCAGTGTCAGATGAGCCAGTGGCAGCTGGGTCAAGGGCAGCTGGGCCAGTGGCAGCTAGGCCAATGGCTGAACGTCCGCGTGTATTACCTACGTCTGGATCGGGGACAAGACCAGAATTTCTATTGCATAACATGCCGGACATTACAACAGATCGCCCGGAATTTCCACCCCAAGGTGCGGTGCCGGAATCTGGATTGGCTTCCCCCAATTTTGTGTTGGATTTATCCCCAACACATCAGAGAATGCAACTGCCGGCGTACATTGAAAATCTGATCATATCGACATTGAACAACACTCTCCAAATGTCTAATGATCAACTCGATTTGCGGATTTTTCAAAACATTGCCGCACTTATGGGGCTCCGTCACCGAATTAATAGAAACGGCGTGTTCATAGGCATGAACAGAGACACGGACACAGGCACAGACACGGACACGGACCTTTATAGTTCAGACACAGAAGAGGAAATTGAAGCAGGCGACTTCACTGATGAGGCCGGGCCGTCGTCTCGGCCGAAAAAACCATCTGCCAGAGCCCGTCGCGCAAACGTACCCAATAAAAGTACTAAGCGAAATGCCGAAACTGATGATGAAGTTCTACCGGATATACCGAAACCCAAGACACAAAAATTCGAAAGAGGACCGGCGGAATTTACAGCCCAAGAGCACATATTTCTTGCATGGGCTAAGACATTGAGTACATTCACTGCCAAAAGACAAGCGACGATCAAAATGAAAATTAATAAAATCATGTCCGAAGCCGAATTCGAAGATTTGGACGACGAATTTTTCGCGGGTAATTTAACATTTTTTTACTTAGAACAGCTCATGATTACCCGTTTCGCGAAATGGGACAACGTTTGTATTTATTTTACAAAATGGAACCACTGTATCTCCACTTCGAGTAAAAATTATACAATTATGAATGTAATTTCGTGAAATTGATAACCACTTAAACTGTACACAACGGAACTTGTTTCGTCATTTGTATATCCATGTAGCGAAATAATACACTCTACTTTATTTTTAACAGATTTCCTTATTCGCAATTTAATTAATTTAACGATTTATTATTATTAATTTGAAAAATGTATTATTATTATTAAAAAAAAGACAGACATACTTCGCACGATGGGTGGACCACTGTTGTAGGTGAGCAGTTGGATAGGTAGAATATAGAGAGGAATTCAATGTATTTTTGTTTGCAACGATTAATCATTGCTAAAAAAAAACGATTATGAGCAGAATTTGGTTTTACATGTTTCAAAATACTGTAATATTTACGATTTTCGTCAAAATTTAATATAAAAATTCTTATGAAAAAAAAACTTCACTAACTCAACTTCTTCTTGTTGGCCATTTCTATATTTCTGCATATCTCATTAGTCTAACAATTTTATCCACAGAGTATCTACCCGCTACTGAATAAATATTACGTAAAAAACTCGTAATATTTAAATGTCTATAAATAGTTCAGAAATAATTAAAATGTTTTAAAAATTTTACCACGCCTATAAAAGATAAATATATTTCTGTCCAAATTTCAAGTCTCTATAGACATGTTGAACTAAATTACAAAAAAAAAAAACAAAATTGAAAATAATAAAAGCATTATTTTCGTAATTTTTTCCGTTTTTTTCTCAATTATTTTGAAAACTGTTTAGATAATTCAAAAATGACACACTTTAAGTATTATCCCAAGAAAATTTCATTTCTGAAAGGTAATATACTTGATAATCGGAGCAAAATTTCTAATAGAATTTGTGTACATAATATAAAAAAAATACATTTTTCGATTCGCTCATAATATAAAATTAAAAAGTATCAAATAAAATATTAATAGATAAAAATAGGAATTTTATTAAAAAAAAAATAATTATATTATTTTAATAAACTCAGAAAAAACAAGACAGCTCCAACGAAATTAATACCTATTATGATTTAACTAATTTGAGATTTAGTACAAAAAGCTGAATTAAATAAGTAGGTAGTAATAAGTAAGCCATTTTATTAATAATTATTAATTAATAATACAAATTATTTTTTCCTAAATGTAACTAACAAGATTTAAATATTATTACCAATAAAAATAAGAAAACTAACTGTAAATATCAACTTAATCTTTTTAATCTTAATCTAATAATTCTTGTTGCCATAATATATTTTAAAATTCTTTAAATAAATAATAATAATTAACATATTTTTAAAAGTAATTGTAAAATCTTAAAAAATTTAATTGTTTTCGTAGTAATACTACTAATAGTAATATATTCATTAAAAAAAAGAAAGTTTATTGTTTTGCTGTATGGTCATCCAAATGAGGAAACAAGTTCTGTTGTGTATAGTTTATGTATCCATTTCACTAAATGTTATCTCTACTTTTTTGAAATTGTTCAAGAGACATAAATACAATTTTATTACTTAATCCTCCTTTGGTTAAATTATTATTTAAAAAACACATGTCTATGCGTTAGGTGTATATAGTACAGTATTCACATTGATTAGAACAATAATCAGATATCTTCAGAAATAACCTTTTATTACACAGACAATTTTAAACTAGACATGTATTTTTATACTATATTAGCTAACCTGGTAAACGCAAGTATATATCGTTTTAAAAATATAGACAACATTTTTCTTTATCAAAAAATGTAAAAACATACATTTTGAAAAAAAAAAAAAGTTGGAGATAGTCTGTAATTGCACCTGACCCTTTAATTAGGCTAAGTAGAGAAATCATAGTTCCATTTTGTGAAAAAAAAAGCAGCTCTAAAATGTTACATTAATATTATTTTTATCATTCTTATTTCTGGGGGTTAATAACTTTTGATTTTCAAATGGTAAATTACATTACAAATTACATAAATAGTTGGAATAAATGTTAAAATACATTTTAGTGTTGCAATTTTTCATTTATGTCTTTTATAAACTTAATAGTCATAAAAAATATAACTAATTGTTGTTGATTTAATTTTTTTCAAGCCAATTCACCAGTACACCGGTCTATTTACACTTCTCCTCGTTGAACAAATTAATTCGTTCTCCAGCAAGTGGTTTAGTGTACTTATCTATGTACAATTTCAGACATCAAGTACATCACCCAAATATGTTTAAAACTCATTATTGAAGAACAGAGAAGTACACAATACTACATTATTAGTAATATTATGATGGTTTTTTAATACAATAAGACCATTTATTATCATTTTTAGGAAAAATGGCATTATTTTACTGGTCATCAGTAATTATTAATTAATATGTTTTTATTAGGTAGGTAATAGGTAGGACTATTAAGTAGGTATATATATATTTTAATGTTAAATTATAGTTATGTAAGGTTAGTCATTATACTTGAGTTCTGATTTATGTACTAAAAATAATTTCCATATACCTAATATTGTAATGACATTTTTTTTTTATCTATTTCGCCATTATTTGAACACAATTAAAATAAATAGAACATTTATACTTTTTTTTTTTAAATATCTATTAAATAACTTATTATACAATTATATAATTATTCGTATTATTATTATTATTATTATAAAACTTATTATTAAAAATATTATTCAATAACTATTATTTAATAGTAATTTAAAAATCTATTTAAATTATATTAGTTAACTCAAGAAATTTTAGAATTGTATAAATTCAAAATAAATATGTTGAGTTTTTCAAAAATTAAGAAAGGTATTAATACCATAATATTGAGTATTATCTATTATATTTAAATTATAATTATATAGAAATTAAGATTAGGTTTTTGCTTAACCTTACTATTAAAAACTATATCCAAAATTTATTGTCTTAGACTAGGTAACAAAAGAGCACACTTTTGTTATATAGTTAAAATATCATAAAATCTCTAAATTAAACAATTAACAATGCTATATTAATTGGTTCTGTAGAAAAATTATGTTTTACATTGAAATTTATTGTTAATTTATTACACATAAGTGCATTAGATAAACTTAACCTTTTCATCAATTGAGTCTAGAAAAATTTAGTTATAAATTTAAATTAATTGATAAATATTACACATAATTATTAAATATTAAGTTAACTTAAGCTTTTTTGTAGGTAATTATTTATTTAATAGTAAATTAATAACCCTTTAAAATTATATCAATTAACTTAGGAAATTTTAAAATTTTATAAATTCAAAACAAATATTGTTTTTCAAAAATTAAAATAGTTGTTAATACCATAATATTGAGTATTATATATTATATTTATATTGTAATATTATACAAGTTAAGGTTAAATCTTTGCTTAACCTTACTACTAAAAACTATATCCAAAATTTACTGTCTTAGTCTAGGTAACAATGGCACACTTTTGTAATACTATGACAGTAAACCAAATAATTTAGTTGTAGTTAAAATATCAATTAATCTCTAAATTAAACAATGAATAATGCTATATTAATTAGTTCTGTAGAAAAATGAATTGTTAATTTATTACATATAAGGACATTAGATAACTTAACCTTTTTAATAGTCAAATATTATTATATGAATTAAAATAATTATCATTAAATAGTATTTATTTACAGTTATCATAAGACTTGGTATATCCTGGTATAAATAAAAAAGGTCAGTTAATCTGATATTTTTAATAATTTGGTATGGGAAAAAATGTAAAAAATTAACTCAAATGTACTACTAACATTTACATTATGAACTCAAAAAACAAAACCACAAGTTTACTACACTTATTTAAAGACATTTATTGAATTTCAACAATATTTAAACATGAGAATAAAAAAAATAGTTTAACATATATAATTAATTTTCTACTATAAAAAATGTCATCGTTTGAGAACATTAATAAACGTATCACGTGGAATTTCAATATCGCCCACCATTTTCATTTTTTTCTTGGCATCTGACTGTTGTTTGAGAAGTTTCAATTTTCGTGTAAAATCACCAGCACGCTTTCCACACTATAAAATAAATCATTAGTATTCTAATTAAGTATTTAAAGAACAAACATTTTGAAAATAAATTATATATTATATATTATTTTTCTTTTTAAGTCAATGAATTATAGTTCAGGTTTTTTTCTTCTTTAATTTGAGAACAAATGGAATTTCTGACCAAATATGTCATAATTTTATGTTAAGCCTTACTTAAAAGCAGAGTTATCTACTAGGCTATGAAGTTAATATTTTTGCTTATGATTTATGTATAGTTTGCTAATTGTTTATTAATTGTTTATTACAACTGGTTAAAGAAAATTTTAAGATTGTATCTAATTCAATGATGTACTTACATTATAAAAAAAAGGTTAATAGGCACTTACTAGTTTTGATGTAACATCTTTCCGATATGGTCTCAAAGTTTCTCTAGCTATTATTTTTCCATTCACTGAAGCTTGAATTGCAATCTAAATAATTCAAACATTTGCTTTTTAATTAACCTTAGAACCTAAAACTTGTAACACCATAGTTGGCAATATGAACTAGGACAACACAAATTATGGAAATAGCAAATAGCAATGACAAAATAAAAACGGTACAGTAAAGAATATAAAAATTAAATTAAAAAAATTATAAAAAACTAAGAAGATTACTGTTTTGGGAGCACAACACTAACAAAAGGGTATTATCAACTTTGAAATTTATTTACATTATTGGTTTATTTATAACTAGGCTTAGGGACTTGTAGCTCTAAAAAATACCTAAATATGCACCAAAAAATGACCAAATATGCTCTAAAATATGCACCTAAAAATAACCGTATATCTATGTATTAAGATATGGCCCCCAAAAAATAGGTATAATAAATATTTATTTTATTAGAATTTATATTATATAAGAATATTATTACTTGAATTTAAAATGATATAATAAATTGAGTTTTTAAAAAATAATTGGTCCTTCCAATCCTAAAGTAAAATTTAAATAATGTTTAAATATTTAAATGTTTTAATTTTTATTATTTTATTAATTTCTTTACCTTGAAAATTACACTGCACAATAAGATATTTCCTGATGTTTTCAAACGTGAATCTATTCTAAAATGTCCTTTAAATTCTTTACTACTGCTTTGCCTTTTGTACATTTTCATTTACAAGTCAACAATTTTATTTTTCGCATCTTCGACCGTTTTTAATGAATCGGATAATTTTATTCCTTTCCTTCCAAAAATGTTATAGATTTGGGTAAAAATCCGAAATTCGATTTAATAAATGCCAAGTTACACTGTAGGTTATTCTTTTCCAAATACTTTTTGGCTGTCTTAATTGAAGCGGCGTCATCGCTGTCGAATGTTTTTATAACTGTCTGAATGTTCTCCAAATGTTCGCAATAGTACATGGTAGCATTTATCCAAGTTCCCCATCTTGTTAGTATGGGTTCAGGCGGTAAAGGAATCTCGTTTTTGAAATTTATTTTGATTACCAACTTATTGCGTATAAAAATCTACACTAGTGAAAAGCACGCGACAGGCGAAACAACGACAGATAATAATCGACTAAACTGAAATAATAACTATTATCGACTATCAGTCGATATCAAGCGGGCGATACGGTTTTATAGGATTATTTAAGATTATATCTACACAAAAATTATAATGAGATATGAATGGTAAATTTTCGGAATAAAAGAAGATAACCAATTCATAATATTATATTACGGCTCCACATGGAGCCTCACTAATTACTTTCTTCACATTAGCCAATAAAATAATAATATTATGTTCTAAAGGAACCTTTTCGTCACTGGTTCTGTGCGATACAAAAATGTGCCTCTCCGACGGTCCCCCGGTTTATCTCGTGCCACAGTCAATGTGTTAACTATCTATAGTTTTCAATTTGAAATTTAAAAAAAATTTCCAAAATATGCAAAATAAGCATAAAAATATTAAAATAAGCACTTTCCTGCAAAATCTATCAAATATGCAAAAATATGCACATTCAAATTTTAGATCTGATATTGTGGCACCGAGAAATAAATTTATTTCGCACTCTGCTATATTTAACAATAATTAAACAAAGTATGCAAATTCTACAAGTCCCTAAGCCTATTTATAACTATTAATTATATTTTGTATATTTATGTTTATAAATAACTTAAAAAATCATTTTTATATACCTAAGACTGTAAAATCAAATTACATGTTAACAAATGCAGTAGTTTTAAAAATTAAAAAAGGGGTTAGAAAAATGAACGAAGGGTCACAGGATTAAAGTAAATTTAAACAGTATCAGTTATCATAATATTACCTGAAACATTTGTCTTGGAATTATATCTGATAATTTTAACACCATTTTACGACCAAAATTTACTGCTTTACTTGCATGGACAATTGTTCCAAGTTCTTCAACAATGTTCCCATTTAATAAAATATTTAACTGAATAAAATATTAATAAGGATAATGAACATTATGAATATTATTTTGTTATTAGATATACCTTAACTAAATTTGATAGCTCAAATCCATGATCTTCATAGCTGAAACTACCAAAACCTGAAGTAATTGATTTAAGAGTATCATGAAAATCAACAACAATTTCATTTAGTGGTAAAAAACACTGAATCATTATTCTTGTATTATCAATATTTGTTGATGATTTCTGTATTCCTCTTTTTTCCATGCACAAAGACATAATATTTCCTAAATACTCATCTATAGATAAACATTTTTAATTGATAATCATTAAATAAGCATTTAATAACTAGATACTATCTATACTAATCTATTGTACTGTTATTATTATAAATTTGAAATTGGAAATTTTATTCCGTAAAATAAATTATTATTTTTATTTTATAATATATTTACCAGGGGTTATAATAGTTCCAAGTATAAATGGTTCATAAAGAGCTAACGTAAATGTTGGATCTGGGAAATCTATAGGATTGGAAAAATAAAATTCATTTCTACCATATTTTTCAATTAATTTTTTTGATGTCACTTTGGCTAAAAAATTTTAAATATAAAGTTAAGTAGATAAAAAAAAAAAAAAAAAACAAAAACAAACCTTTGTATGTTACACTTGGGGCTGTCATAACAGCTTCAGCATTATACTCCTGTTCTAATCTCTGATTGAATACATCTAAATGCAATAAGCCAAGAAAACCTAACCTCCAACCAAGACCTAAAGCTGGACTAAAAAGTAATTGAACAATTTAAATGACAGTAAAAAATATATCATATTTAATTCAAAATTATATTTCTATAAATACAAACACTGAATATTTTACCTAGATTCAGATGTAACACTGACAGCAGAATCATTTAGTGTTAGTCGTTCTAAAGCACTTTTGATTTCCATATGTGAAGATTGGTCAATAGGGAATAATCCAGCAAATACCATTGGTTGAACTGGTTTAAATCCAGGAAATGGTTCCACTGGATTATCTTTCAAATAAATTGTATCTCCAATATGAGCTTCTTTAGCAGATCTTATGTTACAAGTGAGAAATCCTACTTGACCTCCGACTCTATTAAATCAACATCTTAAATTCACAAAAATATTTTATATAAATCAAAATGGTACTTACAATATACCTGTATTGAATTCTGTAGGCCGTAGTATTCCAACATTCCTAACAGTGTAAGTCATTTTGGAGTATATAGTAGAAATTATATCGCCTTCTTTTATAGAACCATCTTTAACATAAATTAGTATAACAGCTCCACGATATTTATCAAACCAACTATCAAATATCAAAGCTTTGAATGGTGCTTGACGATTAGTTTCAGGAGGTGGTAACTGTGCAACAATTGCTTCTAATAATTTATCAATGCCAATTCCATTTTTAGCTGAAACCTATAAAAATAATAACTTTTGAAAACTAATACAACTATTTATGATTGAAATATATTTTACCCGTAAGACTGATTCTGGATTGATTTCAAATAAACTTTGCAATTGACTTTCAACTTTTTGAGGGTTAGCATTTTTTAAATCTATTTTATTTAGTACTGGTATAATAACAAGATTATTACAAAATGCTAAGTAAAAATTTGCTACTGTTTGTGCTTGAACGCCCTGGTTACAATCCACTAAAAGTATAACACCTTGACATGCTGATAATGATCTAGAAACCTCATTGGAG